TCATTATTTTTTACGCTCTTTCGAACGCCGCCTTCCGCGTATCGCTACGTGGCCCAGGAGCCGAGTTACAAGGGGGGGGTGTTCAAACACCCCCCCCCCCCAGCAGGGCGTGGAAATCCAGGACCCCCAGCAAGGCGCGGGTTAAAATATAGTCATTTTCTGCCCCAATATTCACTAACTTATTTGTAGTGAGCATTTTGGCAAACCATTGCAAAAAACGCTAATAGGGAACTCTTCCCGATTAGCGACCGGGGAGGGTCGCTAATAAGTCTATGGGTTTCCCCATATTAAAAATGGCAAAAAATGCGACGCCTGAAAAGATGAAATATTATCTCAAAAAGGTAACCTATACGCAAAGCAGTCAATCACTCGAACAGGAACGTTTATCCAACACATTTACGTAAGTAAAAACTGATCACGTAATGCACCGAAGGCGAAAAGAAGGCGGAAACCCAAATTTTGCGGGCTATCTCGTATGATATTCGAGGTCCGCGCTGAATTCGGCACCCCTGCAGTCGGTGACGACATTTGGCATCCCCTGCCACACATTGCAAGGTTCAGCAACACCTTATTTTCATTTCTCTCTTTTCCCCTTTCTTTCCCTTCTTGAGCTATTTGCGACCATGTCAGGCGCAAATAGGAAATATGAGTTGCGACACATTTTTAACCGCCATGCTGTGCACAGTTGAGCGATTCACTATGGGAAAACGGCAATCAATTGAAAAAGAAATGTCGATTCAGAATGAAAAGGTGCATCATCCTAATGTGCATCGCTTTTCATCAGAGAGGGCCCAAACACACACGTTTTGGATAAGAAACTCGTCATTTTTATTTAAACTCACCTGAAACGTCCCACCAGAAATATCGACGACCGGAAAATAATTTAATTTGATAACCAAAGTATGGCTGACCTTTTGACGACATTTTTACCCCGTTTTCTCCTGCCAGTTTTTCTGTAGGGAGGTAGGTCGCAAATCGGAAAGGGTCGCTAATTAGGCACCTTACCCTACCTCTATGCTGCGACCGCCGGGATACCGGGAAGATTGAAACGCTGAGGCGTCAACAAATTCAACTTGAGGATATAAATTCAGCCACCAGGTGGCGGACCATGGCATGAAGAATGCAACGCATGGCCATGAAATAGCCTAGCCATTAGTGAATTCCGTAGAGATCGACTTAAGACGATGTATACCCCAGTATACAAAAAGAACCAAGAGGGTAGTGTCCAGCGTTGTGATCAAGTGCAGGCCTTACAAATCACACGGCTTCACAGGCTCCTTACAAATCACACGACCTCACAGGCTCCTTATAAATCACACGGCTCCACACTCCACAAGCTCCAGTCTTTACAATTGTTAGCTACGCTCACCAACAGTGAAAGAATACATTTACCTTGATCCGTTATAAGAAGACAGAACAGTTTCTAGGGATGGCAGGCCGACATTTGACTTTGCCGGTGCTCTGACCCGCTTTGGCGACTTTCCTCCTCCTAATTTCCTAGTCCAGCCGCTGTGCGACGTCCGACCATCCGCGGGGTCGGTGGAGGAGGCACCTCCGCCCGCGCCGTCCCCCGTCTGCTAGCCACTATACACTGTTCGGCGTCCACAATCCACCGTCCACCGCCCACCGTCCACTCACCGTCCACCGTCCACCCACCGTCCGCCGTCCACCGTCCATCGTCCACAGTCCACCGTCAACCGTCCACCGTCCACCGTCCACCCACCGTCCACCGTCCACCCATCGTCCAGTGTCCACCGTCCACCGTCCACCGTCCACCCACCGTCCACCGTCCACCCATCGTCCAGTGTCCACCCCGTCCACCGTCCACCGTCCACCGTCCGCTGTCCACCGTCCACCGTCCACCGTCCACCGTCCGCTGTCCGTTCCGCTGTCCACCGTCCACCGTCCACCCACCGTCCACCGTCCACCGTCCACCGTCCGCTGTCCACCGTCCGTTCCGCTGTCCCCGCTACCGATCCTCTCCCGGGAAGTGCCATCGGCGGACGGTTCTCGTGGTTCTCGGCGGACGGTTCCCGTGGTTCTCGGCGCCGGTTCCCATGGTTCTCCGCGCAGCCAAACAGGGAAACACGGCCGACGGCGGACAATGGTAGGTAGGCCGCGCCTCGGCCGGCGTTTTCCGGCGCCCGGTCCCCCCGCCGACGTCACTGCCGGGGTGGTGGGGCCGAAGACGAGCCGCACTCTATATAAGAGTCCGGCAGAGGTCCGGGGGCCGCCAGTGGCTGGCACAGAGCCACCGAGACGGGCACGGCGCATAGTGACCAGATTGGGTGAGACAACTGAGTGAGAACACTGGCTGAGTGAGACAACTGGCTGAGTCAGACGGCTGGGTCGGCCTCCGCTAACGGGGACTCGTGCGGCAGAGTCACGGGGCTGGGAACTGAGAGACCCTTGCGAACAAAGGCCGAAGCAAGGAGTTAGGGAGTAGGGCAGTTCGGTGGCAGTTAGTGAGTGAAGGAGTGAGTGAGTGAGTGAGTGAGTGAGTGGGTGAGTGAGTGAGTGAGCGGGCGAGCGGCGGGTCCCGGTGCTGAGAGGGTGTCGGCGTCCCCTCTCCAGCGCTCGGTGACAGCGTCGGCCCTCAGCTCCGTGCCTTCCCGATGTTGGATGTCCTCAGATCCGGTCCTCCCCGATGTTGGAGGCCCTCAGATCCGGTCCTTCCCGATGTTGGATGCCCTCAGATCCGGTCCTATCCGATGTTGGAGGCCTTCAGATCCGTGCCTTCCCGATGTTGGATGCCCTCAGATCCGGTCCTCCCCGATGTTGGATGCCCTCAGATCCGGTCCTTCCCGATGTTGGATGCCCTCAGATCCGGTCCTATCCGATGTTGGAGGCCTTCAGATCCGTGCCTTCCCGATGTTGGAGATCCACAGATGTATCTCATCAGTCATCAGTCCACGACTGCCTCTGAGGGGAGCGGGACTGTCTCTGAGGGGAGCGGGACTGTCTCTTGGGGGAATGTATCTGCGGGGAGCGGGACTGCCTCTGAGGGGTGCGGGACTGTCTCCGAGGGGAGTGGGACTGTTTCTGAGGGGAGCGGGACTGTATCTCGGGGGAGGGGGACTATATCTGCGGGAGCGGGACTATATCTGAGGGGGGAGGAGAAGCACTGTCGTCCTGTGTTGGCTAGTTCCTGTTATTTGTGGAGTTGCGCTTGTCTTACATACCTATATGCCCATTGCCCACTTCCCTAATCGTCCAGCCACCTACTCTGCGAATTCTGGAGGTTCTTGTGCTGAATGTAGGTAACTGTATGAGCACAGAGCACTCTCTGCTGAGGCATAGGTATTTGGTTACCGTTTGTGCTTCTGCTTGAACTTGTATGAAATAATACTTTAAGTAAAAAGGAGATGGAAGAGAAATGTGAAGCCTACTGTGCGTGTAAGAGTAGGGGAAGGAGGGTGAATTGCGCCACCTTAAGGAAAAACGTTAATTGTAAGAAAACCGCTGAAGATATAAGCATGCACTGGTAACCACTTTAAAGAGGAACTCATTAGCTACGATTTAAGAGCCTCCCGATCAATTAAGAATGTTTCGCTTGCTTCCGACAGCTGCTTTTCAGAAACATGCAAAAGGGCGCATTTACCGACAACTGCTGTAAATTGCGCCAGGGGGATGGCGCAATTAGAATCAAATTGCGCCCTATACTTTAACATGGCTAAGCGAATGAGACGGAATGCATACACCCCGGCAGTGTAATGTCGTTGCGGCTTACTTAAACATTTATAATGTTAATCAGGCTGGATAAATAATAAATGTAGATATAAATAGCGATGTTTTTTTGCCCATGTAAATAACTTTATATGTGTCCGTATGTTTGTAAAAGTGCAACGAAAACGTTTTATGTAACCGACTAGATATATGTGAAAGTATGGTTAAATTTTCAATCGTTTCTCTCAAAATGATTAATTTTTATCGTTTCGACAACTTGTTGACATCAGTTTTTACTTTTTGATCATAGCTGTCACCTCTCACGCCCGAGTCCATGTTGAAAATGCCGTATTTTGTCAATTACACCACAAGTTGGCAGCCTAAATGGCAGCTGCATTATAAGTTTGACGAGATAAATAATTTGCGGACTGGCGACAGCGGGCTGCTCCCCTGCCTGGCATTAAACTCCTTATTTATTGCAATCAGTTAATGGTGCATTCATACTGTCGTGATACAATAGCTACACCATTATTCTATTTGCGCCCCCATGGCGCAATTGCCATGGGCGCAATTATAATTGAGGCACTTTTTAATAAAAGCTTAGAAGTTATCATAAATATGCTGAAGGAAGTTTACTGTTTAAGTGAAATATAATGAAAAAATGGGCTTTCTTTCTAAATATCACTCTGAAAATCACACACGTATCACAGATTTTTATAGCCAACGGTTCAAAATACTGCAAAAAAGCTAAGAAAACGCCGTAATATCTTTGATGGCGTAACTGAGCCCTGCTGATTGGCTTCGTCGGAGAGCTTGGGCCATAAAATGAACTATCAGGTGGTGAAAATATTGTTTTCGAACACAAAATTATAAACATGCCATTGAATTCGTGGGAATGTTGGTGGGCGCAATTGGTTAGGAGGGCGCAATACACCCACTTTCCCCTACAGGAAAGGAGAACCCAAGTGTCATGCTACTCGAGAGTGACACATTGTTAAGAACTACATGCAGTCATTGACGGATCCAGAGAGCTTGTCCTAGGCGCTGCGAAGGGGTATACCTAGGTAACCTAAGTATCTCCCTCCTCCCCCCGGAAAAAAACCTAAAAGTTATGAAAAAAAATGAATCACTTCCTTTTACGTTGCAGTGGAAGTACAAACAATTTGTCTGGTAAAGCTTCCTTGGTTTATTGATTACTTTATATTTTAGGGAACAGGCAAACTTTCATCAATTTCTGCGACGTAGCGGCTGCCGTAGATACGTCCTCCCTTGTATCCGACAGTGGCTGCATGCAGTGACTAAGTGTTACTGAGAGTTGCGTTTTCTGTCGTCAGATGGCAGTGTGATCTACCGGCACCCCCAGTCGCGGATGCTCGGTAAAATGGCGAGTCTGGTCGGATTCAAGTCTCCGGCGCCCCAGCTGCAGGCGGACCCCGTAGCAGGTCAGTGAGCGGCTGCGACTACAGTGGACTCGCTGTGCAGTCAGTAAGCGTCCCAGGTGAGTGAGCGGCTGCGACTACAGTTGACTCGCTGTGTGATCAGCAGTGCGAACTGGTATTGTAGGGTGCGACCTACATATGATCAGTTGGGCTGTCCCGACCGAAGTCACTCAGGGTATAGGTATAGGCAGTACCTAGTAGCCACAGGGGTGGTAGGTGGGCGCTGACCTTTGCTGACCTTATGGGTAATCTCTACTAACCCCTTTTAATCTCTATTGACCCCTGTCGACGTCTGTTGACCCCTGCTGACCTCTGTTGACCCCTGCTGACCTCTGTTGACCTGCAGTGCTGGATCATAAGCTGGACCAGGAGGAGCGGAGGATGAAGAAGGATAACCGGCGGTGGCGCGCCATCATCTACTTCACCGTCACCGTGTGCCTCATCATCTTCGGACTGGTGGTGAGAGAACAAGAGGAGGAGGGAAGCGGGATAATGATAAGGGCGGCGAGAGAGTGGTGCGATTGGTATAAGCAGTACTTTGGGAAATATGGATGTAGTCAAATCTCAAGCTTTCGCTCCCCTCCGACTGACACGGCCTCCTCCAAGTGTGAACCCTCCTATTCCCACAAACTGACGCTCCGCCCGGCCCCACCAGCTGACACCCCGCCCCCCGTCCGGCAGCTGGCGCAGGTCATCTCGTCGGTGACGTCATCGGGCGGTCAGCTGCCCAATGTTGACGTCACGGAGGCGGCGGCGGCGCTGGACGCGCCGCGTCACGAGCCGCTGCTGGCCGGCCTCGGCGGCGCCGACGGTCGGCAGGGCTCCCCGGCGCAGCCAAAGGCGGGCGGCGACCCGAGCGACACCTATACGGCCGACTCGGGCGACATCTATGTGACGGTGCCGGGCGGCCGCGCCGAGGACGACTACGTGCTGACGGTGGCGCGCACGGCCGGCGGTCAGCTGGACATGGCCGTGAAGGCCGAGGGAGCCGGCTCCGCCGCGCACGCCGCCGCCATCGAGAGCGCCCTCCAGGAGGCCATTGTGCTGGGCGAGCGGCAGCAGGCCGAGGCCGTGGCCGAGGCGGAGGCGGAGGCGGAGGCGGAGGCGGAGGCGGTAGCGAAAGCCGTGGCGGCGGAGGTCGAGGCGGAGGCGGAGGCGGCTCTGCAGCCCGAGGCGCGGGCCGGGTACGTCGCCTACGTCCCCGTTCCGCTCGGCGGCGAGGAGACGCCCACCACGGCGACCACCTCGACCACGCGCCGGCCGGAGCCGCCGCCGCAGCAGCGCCGGCCGCTCTTCGTGCCGGTGATGTTCCAGGAGCGGCAGGCGGCGGGCCGGCCCCAGTTTGTGCGCCGACCGTCGCCGGTGCTGACTGCGCCGCGGCCGGCGCTGCTGCGGCCGCCGCCGCTGCCCTCTGGACAGACGGTGCAGCGGCCGAGCCTGCCGCCGCCGGCCGGCCACTCGGCGCGGCCGCAGCTGGCGCTGCTGCTCCGGCGGCCCGGCGCCGGGTTCCCGGCCGGATTCAACGCCCACCAGGAGGCCAACCTGGTGCGGCGCCCGGTGCCGATCGGTCCGCTGCCGCTCAGCGTCCAGGGGCGCACCGGTGACCTGGTGACCTCTGCGCGCCCTCTGACTTCCGTGCCGCCCACCCTGCCCAGCTCTGTGGCGCTGAGCAGGCTGCTCGGGCCGCGCTTCCCGCCGCGCCGGCCCGTGACCCCCGCCGGGCTGCGGCCAGGCCCCTTCCGTCCGCCAATTAGCGTGGCCCCGCCACACCAGCCGGCCAATCAGCGCCCGCCTCACTCCAGTCGCCGTCCGTTCCCGCCGCCACCAGCCAATCACCGCCCGTTCCCGCCGCCTCCGACCAATCAGCGTCCGTTCCCGCCGCCTCCGACCAATCAGCGCCCGTTCGCGCCTCCGCGGTCGCACGGTATCCCAGTGGGACCGAGTCCGGCCGGCCGCCGGTTCCCGTCCGCTCCCTCGGTGCCGCTTGTGGGGAACCCCCAGTACAGCTACCCGCGGACGGCCACTGGCATCCAGGACATCCTGAGCTACATCAGCGGCGACACGGCGCGCAACGGTCACGGCGCCTACGGCCGGTTCAGCAGCGGGCCTGTGCCGCCGGCCGGGCAGCGCCGCGACGGGCCCGTGTACCCGGCCGGGTACCGCCGGGACGGGCTGGCGCTCGGCTCGGCCGGCCGGCCGCTGCAGCTGATGCTGGACGTGTACCCGGTGGATAACTCGGACAGGTACGGACAGCAGCCGGCGGCCGGCCGCTACGGCCGCTGGCCGCAGCTGCCGGCGGCGCCCACCGTCTCCAAGGTGGTGTTCCACCAGTATCCCGACGGTACGCTCGCGCCGGCGTCTGACCAACAGGTGGCGGCTCAGGGCAGCTGGCCGCAGGTCCCGCAGCCTCCCCAGCACCGGACCGGACCCTCCCCGGCCGTGGGAATCCCCGCCAGGGTCTCCAAGGTGGTGTACCACGAGTACCCAGGTGACCGGTCCGGCATGCAGTACCTGCCTGGACCCCTGGGCGGGGCTCAGTACCTCCCCGGGCCCCTGGGCGGGGCGCAGCTCCTCTCTCGATCCAGGGTTGGGCCGCAGTTCACCGTTGGGTCTCAGGGTGGGCCTCAGTTTCTTTCTCGATCCATGGTTGGGCCACAGATCACCATGGGGCCTCAGAGTGGTTCTCAGTTCCTTTCTCGATCTGTAGGCCTGCCACAGTTTACCATGGGTCCTCAGAGTGGTTCTCAGTTCCTTTCTCGGTCCCTGGGTGGGCCTCAGTTTGCCGTTGGACCACTGGGCGGGCTCCCGTTTATTCCCTCACCCCTGGGAAGGCCCCACCCTATGGAAGTTCTGATGCTGATGGGATCCTCCGCGCCCCTGACATCGCAAAACCTAGTGAGGGGATCCCAGCCCCACCTCCCCACTATTTCCAAAGTCGTTTTTCACGAATACCTTGATAACAAGGTGGAGCCTGCCTCCGAGGAAGCTCAGGTGACACAGACACCTACCGCCCAGGCCCAGGCTGAAGCTCTAGCTCAGGCCCAGGCCCAAGCACAGGCCCAAGCACAGGCTCAAGCCGAGGCCCAGGCACAGGCACGGGCCCAGGCTGAAGCACAGGCCCAGGCCCAGGCCCATGCTCAAGCCCAAACCCAAGCCCAGGCACAGGCACAGGCCGCCCAGGCTAAAGCCCAGGCACAGGCCGCTCAGGCTCAGGCTCAGGCCGCCCAGGCAAGAGCTCAAGCTCAGGCTGAGGCCCAGGCCCAGGCCAGAGCTCAAGCTCAGGCTGAAGCCCAGGCTCATGCACAGGCCCAGGCCAGAGCTCAAGCTCAAGCTGAGGCCCAGACACAAGCCCAGGCCAGAGCTCAAGCTCAGGCTGAAGCCCAGGCTCATGCACAGGCCCAGGCCAGAGCTCAAGCTCAAGCTGAGACCCAGGCACAAGCCCAGGCCAGAGCTCAAGCTCAGGCTGAAGCCCAGGCTCATGCACAGGCCCAGGCCAGAGCTCAAGCTCAGGCTGAGGCCCAGGCTCAAGCCCAGGCCCAGGCCAGAGCTCAAGCTCATGCTGAGGCCCAGGCTCATGCTCAGACCCAGGCCAGAGCTCAAGCTCAAGCTGAGGCCCAGGCTCAAGCCCATCCCCATCCCCATCCCCATCCTCATCCCCATTCCCAGGTCCAGGCCCACGCCCATCCCCAGGTCCAGGCCCACGCCCATCCCCAGGCGTAGGCCCAGTGCCCCCAATCATCTGGCGGCGATGTCTCGGAGTTGTCGGGGCGGCCCACAATCCCCGGATCGAGAGTGTCCGTCCACTGATCAGCACGGGCTAGCGCATGTGGTGGCAGGCGGTAATATCACGTGACAGGACAGGCCCACTGGCGCTGTGTTTGCGTTGGAGTCAGGTGGCTGGCTCGGCGCATCACGTGACCATTGGCACGGGTGCCGTGCTGGTCGGCGTTTTAGCCACGTGACCGTTCGTTTTTATCTTCCGATCCCGTTTTGATGGTTGGTCTGTTCCACTGTGATGGCTTGGCTGTCCCGCTGTGATCTTTTGGCTGTTACCCAAAGTGTAACCAAAGGTTCCAGTACCGCCCGTTCTCCCGTGGTAGACAGTGTTGGGGGAGCCGGGCGCACAATCTTACCATATAAACGCGCACTGACTCGCACAACGTGGTGCCTTCTCGATCAAACTGTCCGCGTTATACTGTCCGCCCGAGCTGAACTGAACTCTCCGAGCTGAACCGTGCTGTCCAAACTGACGGCTCTCTTCTGTGCCTCTATCGGAATGTAGAACCAATACACGAAACCGGCGACCCCCGTCTTCCATCTGTCTGTCTGTCTGTCTGTCTGTCTGTCTCACTGAACGGCGGGATGGCAGCGCGACTGGCTGCTTCTGTCTGTCTGTCTCACTGAACGGCGGGATGGCAGCGCGACTGGCTGCGATGGCAGCGCGACTGGCTGCTTGCATGGTCGAGCGTCTGGTGGGAGGCTGGGTCACACATCAGGGACACGGTCCGGCCGGCCACGTGGCAAGCAGGACACCTCGCATCACCAGGTACACGTGTCACCTCACACTGTGGCCCCAGCACCGGTCAGGATCCGGTACTCCACGCAACCTTCTGCCGGACACAGGCTGCGTCCCTCTTCACACCAACTGAGCTGCGCCCTCTGCCGAGCACGGAGAGGTCTGCCCCTCCATACACTGCATCCTCTACCGGACACTTTCCCGTCTATACACTACACCTTCTACAGGACACTTGCCCCTCTATTATAATATACGAGTATATCTTCTACCGGACATTTGTCCCTTTATAAACACTGCATCTTCTACCGGGCGCTTTGCCGTCAATAGGCACACTACACCTTCTACAGGACATTTGCCCCTCTATAATATATATCTTCTGCCGGACATTTGTCCCTTTATATACACTACATTCGCTCGGACACTTTACCTCTATACACTGCACCTTCCACTGGGCACACGATTAGGTGCATTACCCTCCCCCATCGCGCAGTGATCACTGTGTACTGTGTAGGCCTGTTTCTGGCCAATGCACTCACAGCACTTACTATCCACTGCAGTTTGAAGTACCTAGTCTGTTTCCGATCAGTGCTGGCAAAACTCGGTATCCAGTACTGTATAAATGATTCTGTTTCCAGCTCGCACGAGTCAGTGCCATTATATTCGCACCCGTATGCTAAAGTTTCATGGAGTTTTCAGTGAGACAGGGGTGTTTTTGAGAGTAGCTGGCTGCGCAGGTTTTCATCGAGCTTTGAGGGGGGGGGGGGGGTGGAGCTGACTTTTTCTCCCAAGGCATGACTGTGACACACATTAGGCCCGCGCCGCCTATCCCCTGGTATGACCCACACGGCTGCATGCGAAGAAGCGCACATGGGACCAGCATGGGTTTTGAATTTCCACTGTAACCCAGCTGGTGCTCCTTCGCAGCCTGTACGAGAGTCGCAGTGGAATGCCAAAACCTCTACCTGTTTCCAAACGACTAGACCTGTATGAAAGAGTGTGTCCTAGCCATCTGCACCTTCTCTGTATATCGTTATCGTGTATAAGCAGGCCGGTGTCTACAGACATCCCTACTGATTTGCCATTGTGCACACTTCCGTGCACTCGACATACTGCCGGGGCACAGACCGCGTCACTGAAAGTTAGTCACCATGCAGTCGGATCCTGGACTATGTAGAGCCTATAGCTCGTTTTTAAGTTCGACACCCACCGTAAAAATAGTTTTGAACACAGCACGAGAATTGCTAGCTAAATTAGGTACTGAGAAAACTGGCTAGCGCACATTGTTATGGAGATGTGACTTATTTGCCTATATAAAAATCAGAACGTCTGTACGTATGTATGTATGTATGCATGCATGTATGTAACGCGTCAGTTCCCTTTGGCGGGCTGTTGCTCCGGAACGGTGCGGGCTGCGGGGGTGAAATTTTGGCGCCGAGTCGGGCGCGTGCAAGCATTTGTCGTATTAAATTTTGGTGGGGGTGCGCTCGGCGGTTTGCACGTGGCGGGCGCATTTTTGCGGCATTTTGGGCCGCGGCCGGCTTCGAGCAGACGGCACGTGCCGTAGGCTCAGTTTCTTCGCTTGCAAAACTCAGCGAAATCAGAGCCGGGAGGTCGTCGACCTTTGCACCGCCGGCCACCGCAGGGCAGGGCACCGCAGGGCACCGCCGGCCGAGAGGAGTCGCCAAATTTATTCTGGCAATAACTCGGCCGCTACTGGGCCGATTTTAATGAATATTGATTTATTACGCTGCGCGTAATGCTGTCCCTCTAGTTTGCCTATATAAAAATCAAAACGTCTGTGCGTATGTACTTAACGCATAAGTTCCCTTTGGCGGGCTGTTGCGAGGCGACGGTGCGGGCTGCGGGGTTGAAATTTTCGCACCGAGTCGAACGCGTGCAACCATTTGTCGTATCAACTTTTCGAGGGGGTGCGTTCGGCGGTTTGCACGTGGCGGGCGCCTCTTCGCGGGAATTTGGCCGCGGCCGGCGCCCAGCGGAGAGCACGTGCCGTAGGCTCAGTTTCTTCGCTTGCAAAACTGAGCGAAATCAGAGCCGGGAGGTCGTTGACCTTCGGTAATGAATACCGGCGCAGGGCACCGCCGGCCAGCAGGAGACGCCAAATTTATTCTTGCAATATCTCAGCCGCTGCTGGGCCGATTTTGATGAAACTTGATTTATCATACGCTGCGCGTAATGCTGGACACCTAGTTTGCCTACATAAAATCAATATGTCTGTACGTGCGTAACACGTCTGTTCCCTATGGCGGGCTGTTGCTCCGGAACGGTACGTGTTACGGGGTTGAAACTTTGGTGCCGAGTCGGGCGCGTGCAACCATTTGTCGTATTAAATTTTGGTGGGGGTGGGTCCGATGGTTTGCACGTGGCGGGCGCATCTTTGCGGGAATTTGGGCCCCGGCCGGCTTCGAGCAGACGGCACGTGCTAACGTTTCTTCGCTTGAAAACTGAGCGAAATCAGAGACGGCAGGTCACTGACCCTTGGCAATGAACACCGGCGCAAGGCACCGCCGGCCAAAGGATTCGCCAAACTTTTTTCTTGCAGTAACTCAGCCGATACTAGGCCGATTGCAATAAAACTGATTTATTACGCTGCGCGTAATGCTGTCCCTCTAGTATTTTTAAAATAAGTTTTGAACACCGATATTGTACCGTTATGTTAAACGGCATGCGATTTATTAACTCGCGACCGCCTGGGGCGGGGGGGGGGGGGTCGGATCCGACCCCTCCGTTTGTTCTGGAATAACTTACGAACCGCTTGCTATCAACTTTCAACTTGGTATGGCTTCTGCCTTATCAAATTGACGTCTTTTGTCAATTTTCAATGCCAATTTTCGGAATTTTTTTTAGATATATCTATTTTATTGGTCTACATAGTTTTTATTTTATTGGTCTATTGTTGGTCTATGGTCCATGTTATCTACATAGTTTTTTGTCAAAAATATTAAATGTTTTAACAAATTGCCAAAAATCAAGTTTAAAGCAAATTGCAAATTACGGACATGAATGGACCCAGCTTGATGTGTACTTTAACCCTCACCCTGGCAGGGCATTTTTCAGGCAGGGGTCGATGCAACCCCCCCCCCCCCATCGCGATTGGCTCCTATGGCACCTAGAAACACCACATTTGGTAGGTAGATGGGCCCCCTGGAGTTCTCGCCCCTGTGCAAATTTGGTTGCTCTAGGTCAATATTTAAGGGGGTTTTGGGGGTATGAATGTAAAAATTTCGCTAAAAACAGGTCAAAAGTTTATTTCGCTTATAACTTTTGATCTAATTAAGATAGAGAAACAAGAAAAGCACCAGTGAACTCAGCACGTCAAGGGCTCCTAGCTGAGGGAAACGCCTCCCTGCAGCTGGGAAACAGACTACGACTGCAGAGAGAGGTGGCCTCATGACCGCTGACCAGAACTACAGACGGCTGACCTGATCCGATAACCGATAAGCCTACCCATGACTTCTGAGCTGACTGATAAGCTCTGAGGTAGCCTGATGAAGGTCGACCTGACCCGGTGACCTCTCAGCTGACTGGTGACTTCTGACCTGATGGCCACTGACCTGACCTGATGGCCACTGACCTGACCTGATGACCCTATTCTCGGTACTCGTCGGCAGGTATCAGTCGTCCAACTTCTACCTCAGTTCCGGTCACCGGGGCCGGAACCGGTTCGACAGACAGCACCGCGACGACCATACCGTGTACAACAATCACTACAACAACGACAATAGCTACAACAATGACAACACCAACTACAACAGCCAGGAGAATAACAATTACCGTAACAGCTACAACAGAAACGATAACAACAGGCATAACAGCTACAACAACAATTATAATAGCGATTTTGATGATCACAACAATGACGGCTATCGAAACTCAGACAATAGGGAGAACGACTTCCATAATGACAGACACCGCTATCAATCCAACAATAACGGCTACGACAGCAATGGTGACCACTACGATAACGGCGGCTACTCTAACAATAACGGCTATTCTAACAATAACGGCTACTCCAACAATAACGGTTACTTCAACAACAATAACGGCTACACCAGCAATGGTGGCTACTCCAACAACAATAACGGCTACCCCAACAATGGTGGCTACTCCAACAATAACGGCTACTCCGACAACAGCGGCGGCCACTCGGACGCCGGCCGCGCGCCGGGTGGGCCCGGCGGACAGCACCGGTTCAGCCCCAGCTACCTCGAGGATACGGGCAGCTACCGGGGGAGCCGGCCGGACGGCGGAGAGGACGGCTTCGGCACCAGCCAGGACGACATGCACAAGGTGAGTGCCGACGAGCCGCCGCGCCGAACCGAAACCGAAACAAAACAAATGTGTACCTACTTTATAGCCAGCGTCACCGACAAAGTAGCCAGAGGGTGGCAAACATAAGAAATATTTATCTAACACGCAAGAGACATTGATGCGCGCATCTTTACAATGTCAAGAACGCTTTTTAACAAAATTCTACGGATTTTCAGACAAGTCACATCTAAACCAAATAACTGATTGCAATGATCCAAATACGTGCAGGCTGACTATTTCAGGCTCTTTTGATGAGTTCAGGTTTGCTTTACTAGAAAACTGGACGAAGTCTAAGAAGTAGAGAAAATCGCTGAACCCTTTGAATTGGGCTGTTTCTGTTTCTTTTACCTTCTTTTTGTTGACAGATTGTACTGCACCTGAACATCTACTCCCAGCGGCCGGAGCAATACGGAGGACGCACGTCCAGCAGCAGGTACGGGGGCAGTACGGGGACAGTACGGGGACAGTACGGGGACAGTATACGGAGGACAGTACGGGGACAGTATACGGAGGACAGTACGGGGACAGTATACGGAGGATAGTACGGGGGACAGTACGGGGACAGTACGGGGACAGTACGGGGACAGTACGGGGACAGTACGGGGACAGTACGGGGACAGTACGGGGACAGTATACGGAGGACAGTACGGGGACAGTACGGGGACAGTACGGGGACAGTACGGGGACAGTACGGGGACAGTATACGGGGACAGTATACGGGGACAGTATACGGAGGACAGTACGGGGACAGTACGGGGACAGTACGGGGACATTATACGGAGGACAGTACGGGGACAGTATACGGAGGACAGTACGGGGACAGTACGGGGACAGTATACGGAGGACAGTACGGGGACAGTATACGGAGGACAGTACGGGGACAGTACGGGGACAGTATACGGAGGACAGTACGGGGACAGTACGGGGACAGTACGGGGACAGTACGGGGACAGTACGGGGACAGTACGGGGACAGTATACGGAGGACAGTACGGGGACAGTATACGGAGGACAGTACGGGGACAGTACGGGGACAGTATACGGAGGACAGTACGGGGACAGTACGGGGACAGTACGGGGACAGTACGGGGGACAGTACGGGGACAGTACGGGGACAGTACGGAGGACAGTACGGGGACAGTACGGGGACAGTAAACGGAGGACAGTACGGGGGACACACGTCCAGCAGCAGGTACGGGGACAGTACGGACGGGGACAGTACGGGGACAGTACACGGACAGTACGGGGACAGTACGGGGACAGTACGGGGACAGTACGGGGACAGTACGGGGACAGTACGGGGACAGTACGGGGACAGTACGGGGACAGTACGAGGACAGTATACGGAGGACAGTACGGGGACAGTATACGGAGGACAGTACGGGGACAGTATACGGAGGACACAGTCCAGCAGCAGGTCAGAGTAAACTTACCGTGCAAAACCTACCGCTTAATCTCGCGAGAGCCGTACTTGTTTGCTTACTTCTGTTTCTTTCAGACGCTTCTGTTGATTTGTCGACCTCACCACGCTGACCCGTCTCCGGCACCTGACCCCCCCCCCCCCCCTCCTTCCCCGCAGCCGCCGACTCAGTCTCGACATTCCCCTGAGGCGCCAACAGCTGACGGCGCACGCGCTCTACGACGCCATCTTGGCAGGAAAATGGCTGCCACCGGACGACCAGCCGCACTTTGAGTTTCTACAAGGTCAGACTCCGCCAGCGGGGCAGTCGGGCTCCGCCAGCGGGGCAGTCAGGCAGTCGGTGGCGGATCCGGCAGTGCCTACCTGTTAGACGCTGACTGTCAGCGGGATACGCCTACTCACTTATTAAAGCATTTCCAGATCCAAAGAGGTGGTATTGAACTCATTGGACGCTCCAAGAGAGGTATACCTACTACCTAAAAATATTTGCCAATCACCATAAAATGTTTCTCAACTTGTGCCCTACTCTGCGTTGCCTTGTAGCACATAGGGGAGAGTGGGGCAATGGCGACACCATAAGCATTTTGCTCAATAGCTTGGCTATTTGAAGCTATTTTATGGTGATTTTGACTGTGGTTATAGCCAAAGGAATAGGCTTTCAGATAGCACCCAGTTTTAGTATCTCAGATCACTGATGACAAATTCAGAGCCTACGCGAAAATGTGGTGAAAAATGGAGGTGCAAAAAAGCGAGGGGTAATGCCGGCCACTAAGTGCAATAGCACAAAAGTCGAAATATCGTCACTGGTATTCATCCTTAAACCGTTCTTTCGATGGAAATTTAAGTGAGAATTAAGAAACGACAACTGTATTCAGCAGTTAACAGTACACTGCACTGCAACACAACACTGCACTCGCTGCAACACAACAGCGCGGCGCCAACAGAGCAGCAAACTAGCACAACCGTAAACACAGCAAGCAAACTAACACAGCCGTAAACACAGCAACCCGAAACGTTGAGCTTTAACGACAGAAGTCGCAAACAAAACCGCGTGGAGTCATTCCGGACACGTGTCCGGTATTACCCCGAGGTCAGCTTTATTTTAAGAAAGCAGTCAAAGGCATTGCGCCGCAAACGCCTCACATCCAGCAGTCGCCTAAGAAAGGCTTAATTGAAGGTCATTGCAAAGCAGCACTTCTGAAAATGCGTTAATACATTTCAGAGTCAGCAAATAGATGCAACTAAAATTAAAAATCAGATACGAAAAACACATTTAACGCTATAAAATGAAAATAATGGAGCTACCGTGACAAACTTGCACCACGTGCTAGAATGGCGCTCAAGTGAAATGTAAACAACATCAGCTGATTAGTGATGGACAAAGTACTCACTAGAGATGGGTGGCCGGCATTACCCACCGTCCGCCATTGCCCCACTCTCCCCTATGCAATGCAAGTTATAACATTTCTTATTCTCCGTGAAGTTGGTATTGAGTTGTAAAAAAAAAAAAAACAATATAAATAGGTAATAGCTGCAGCAGGGGCGTCGACGCGTAAGGAAAACTGGTCCGACTTTTTCTCGGGGGGCCCCCACCGGTGGGGGCCCCCAGGGGCCCCCGTGGCCGCAGCAGGGGCCCCCGTGGCCGCAGCAGGGCCCCCGAGAGCCCCAACAGGGGCCCCCCGCGGCCGCAGAAGGGGACCCCGCGGGCCGCAGCAGGGCCCCGCGGTGTCTAGCAGGGCCCCAGAGGCGCAGCAGGGCCCCCGCGGTCTTTAGCAGGGCCCCCCGAGCCGCAGTAGGGCCCCCGCGGTCTGCAGCAGGGGCCCCCGCGAGCCACAGCAGGGCACCGCCTAGTCGAAAAAGTGGTCAGACTAGTCGGAAAAGTCGGACCGGTGTCGACGCCCCTGAGCTGCAGACAAATATCGAAATTCACTAGAAAAACGCGTCTTCCACATTATCGTATAATCATCAACCAGCATTTGAGTGTGCGGCGCGGTGCATGACGAGTGCCGCCGCGCCCTCTTCATCCGCTACCTGCTGCTCTGTGGGCGGCTGACTTCCCTGCTCCCCTCCCCCTTCCACTCCTCCGCAGAGCCGGGCGCCAGCGGACTGACCTCGGCCGACCCTTCCCTCACCCTCTGTATCACCGCCGACCCTTCCCTCACCTTGTGTGTCACAGCCGACCCCTCCCTTACCCTCTGTATCACAGCCGACCCTTCCCTCACCCTCTGTGTCACAGCCGAGCCCTCCCTCACCCTCTGTATCACAGCCGACCCCTCCCTCACCCTGTGTATCACAGCCGACCCTTCCCTCACCCTCTGTATCACAGCCGACCCCTCCCTCCCCTCTGTATCACAGCCGACCCCTCCCTCACCCCCTGTATCACAGCCGACCCCTCCCTCACCCCCTGTACCTATCACAGCTGACCCCTCCCTCACCCTCTGTGTCACAGCCGACCCCTCCCTCACCCTCTGTATCACAGCCGACCCCTCCCTCACCCTCTGTATCACAGCTGACCCCTCCCTCACCCTGTGTATCACAGCCGACCCCTCCCTCACCCTGTGTATCACAGCCGACCCCTCCCTCACCCTGTGTATCACAGCCGACCCCTCCCTCACCCTGTGTATCACAGCCGACCCCTCCCTCACCCTGTGTATCACAGCCGACCCCTCCCTCACCCTCTGTATCACAGCTGACCCCTCCCTCACCCTCTGTGTCACAGCCGACCCCTCCCTCACCCTCTGTATCACAGCCGACCCCTCCCTCACCCTGTGTGTCACAGCCGACCCCTCCCTCACCCTGTGTGTCACAGCCGACCCCTCCCTCACCCTGTGTGTCACAGAGTCGGGCGCCAGCGGACGGACCTCGGCCGAGCCCTCCCTGGCGGAGGAGCTGCCCAAGATCCTGGCGGCGCTGCGGCGCCGGCTGGAGGAGGCGCCGCAGACGCTGCTGGAGCTGCAGCCGACCGCCGCGGAGGACGGCCACGGAGGACACGACGGGGACCGCTGGGACGAGGAGGCACTCTGGAGAGAGGACCACCGACACGCAGGGGACTATCAACACGGAGAGGAGCACCGAGCTAGAGAGGAACATCAATACAGAGAGGACCATCGACACATTATATGGGACCACAGAAACGGAGAGGACCACCGACCTGGAGAGGACCACCGGCACGGAGAGGCCTCGTGGGACCACGGGAGGTGGCAGGACCGCCACTCCACGGCGGACCGTCGGCCGGACCACGGGCAGCCCGCCGACGGCGGACAGTATGACGTCAGCGCGGCCCCCGGCGGACGCCGTGAGCAGCCCGGTCCGGGCCACGGCGAGGAACAACGGGGCAGCGAGAACCACATCAGGTGAGGATGGAACACAGAGGTCTGGGACTGGGACTGGGTCCGGGGACTGGGTCAGAGAGGACGGTGTATGAGAGGACGGTGTATGAGAGGACGGTGTATGAGAGGACGGTGTATGAGAGGACGGTGTATGAGAGGACGGTGTATGAGAGGACGGTGTATGAGAGGACGGTGTGTGAGAGGACGGTGTATGAGAGGACTGTGCTAGTGGAGGCTGGATTAGGAGATGGGATCGGAGAGGACTGGGCTAGGCGACTGGATTAGAAGGATTGGGACTGGGTCTGGGGACTGGGTCTGAGGGGACTCATCGAGAACCAGTGGTCGCTGAAGCTACATTAGATCACCGATTCCTTTCTCTCTGCCGGCAGCTGGACCTCAGTTCAAAAGATCAACGACCTCACGGAGGGTTACCTGCGGCCTGACCAGGTCACCCGGCCGCCGGTGACGTCACGGCCTACCCTGGTGACGTCACTGGCGGCGGCGGCCACCTACGAGCCGCTGCCGACGCCGCTGGCCAGTCGGCGGCGGCCGCCGTCTGCAGATGGCGCTGGCGACCAGGCTAGGAGTGGGAAAGAGGGCGCTGGTAGCGCTGGTACGGACAGCGGTCACGGCAGCATGCTGGCGAGCCCGACCACGTAATGAGGGGACACCGAGGGCACCGGCAGCCAGTCGGGTGTTCGTTACTGCTATGCGGATAAAACCTCGCTGGCGAGGACGTACTTAAATTATATGCTCCGCTGTTGTCCACTGACCCGTTAGAGTGAGGGGGGAGACGTTCGAATAAAACGAAAAAAGACGTCTCCGAAAATTATAAATTAGTGTCTCCATCCAGCACGCGGGTCAGTGAAACAATGTCATGCATCATGCAGTTAACGTCGATTGATTGATCAGCATCCAGTATGTATATGTCGGATGTGTTGGACGCGCCTCACGCTCGTTCCTGTGCCCGTGTGTTGTGTATGATCGGCCGAGGCTGACCGCTGGGCAGTTAGTGTCGCCAAAGGTCACACTCACTCGATCTGTATGGTAAAATACACTGAAATCGGGGTTAAAGAATAGCCCGGTGTACTGCCTGTGCCAGCGAAACCTACGAAACTGGTTAAAACCGGTATTGATTACGTAGACGATATATTGAACAGAAGACAGCAGAAACACACGCACATAACTGAACCTTTTCATTACAAAGTGGCTACAGCTGCCATGTGACGTTCTGCCCTTGGCAGCGGTAAATTGTAGCGGCCAGCGCATCACCAAAGTACATAACAACCCCACTGCCGAGCCTAGGGACTGTCACAGCCGTCACAGGGCAGTGGTGACAGCACAGCCCTGGCTGCGGCACACCGCCCACCTACAGCACAGTGGTCACAGCACAGCCCTGGCTGCGGCACACCGCCCACCTACAGCACAGTGGTCACAGCACACCGCCCACCTACAGCACAGTGGTCACAGCACAGCCCTGGCTGCGGCACACCGCCCACCTACAGCACAGTGATCACAGCACCGCCCACCTACAGCACAGTGGTGACAGCACAGCCCTGGCTGCGGCACACCGCCCACCTACAGCACAGTGGTCACAGCACAGCCCTGGCTGCGGCACACCGCCCACCTACAGCACAGTGGTCACAGCACACCGCCCACCTACAGCACAGTGGTCACAGCACCGCCCACCTACAGCACAGTGATCACAGCACCGCCCACCTACAGCACAGTGGTCACAGCACAGCCCTGGCCGCGGCACACCGCCCACCTACAGCACAGTGGTCACAGCACAGCCCTGGCTGCGGCACACGGCCGCCGGAGTTCACAGCACGCAGTGGCCGCAGTGCCGCCCCCTGCAGTCGGCACAGTCCTCTCCGCGCGGCGGCTCCCGCTGCGCGCGGCGGCACACGCGGGCTAGGACCGGAGCGCCGGCGGCCGTCCGCCACCGGCTGCAGTGGGAGCCGCTCACGGCGCCCGTCAGCCGCCAGCTCGGCCCGGTGCCCCGCCGGGGGTCGGCGGTCCGCCCCCGGTCTCCGGCAGGCGCCAGCTCGGACCCGTCTGGAACACAGGGAGGCGCCGTCAGCCGGACTCGGGGCGGGCAGGGCCGGCGGACTGACCGGCCCCGTCAGCAGTCGTATGTCGTCACAGCGCCTCAGTAGCAGAACTGACTGGTGGAAATCATCACAGCGGAGGTACACAGATCAACAGCGGCGCCACACACCGTCCGGTACTCATTGAACGTAACAGGCAATTAGCTCACCCTTACGTTTGCTGATTTTAACTGCACCATTCTAAAATAAAAACAATGCGTGCGAGGTTAAGATGGCAGCTAAGTAATGTCGCTCTTCAATCTTCAATACGGCACGGCTCGCCGCTCCCGAAGGTAGTACGTACCTGAGCACGCGGCAGTCAGAACAGATAGTTCCGCCCGGCGCCCGGCGGGTCCTCCAGGGTAGCATCCATCGGTCCCTGGTGGCGGCAGTACACGGCCGGCGTAGTCACCGCCGCGGCTGGCAGCCTCTGCCCGGTCCCTCCGGGGCCGGTGTAGTCTCTGCCCGGTCCATACAGGGCCGGTGTAGTCTCTGCCCGGTCCATACAGGGCCGGCGTAGCCTCTGCCGCGGTGTCTGCAGGGAGGGCCGCAGAGAGGGGGACGGGTCAGACGGGCCGACCAACGGTCGGGGACACCGGGACCACTGGGCGACATCAGGAGTCGGGCGTCGTCAAAGCGATCAGTAGCAGAACTGACTGGGTAAGTCATCACTGAGACCACAAATGAGAGCCGCGGCTCCGCGCGGCGCGTGTCGTACCTGAGTCACCGCGCGGCTGGGTCGGCGGCCGGACGATATCCTCAGACCGCTGACAGACGCAGTTCACCCGTCTGCAGACCGCGGACAGACGCAGTTCAGCCGTCTGCAGCCCGCGGACAGACGCAGTTCGGCCGTCTGCAGCCCGCGGACAGACGCAGTTCAGCCGTCTGCAGACCGCGGACAGACGCAGTTCAGCCGTCTGCAGACCGCGGACAGACGCAGTTCGGCCGTCTGCAGCCCGCGGACAGACGCAGTTCAGCCGTCTGCAGACCGCGGACAGACGCAGTTCAGCCGTCTGCAGACCGCGGACAGACGCATTAGCACGTGCTCGGCGATCGGTGATACGAGTAACCTTAATATACCAATTTTCTTTTGGCGCGACTCGGTCTCGACTCCTTTCACGCCCTCTGTCGATCAGCGTCCTGCATAGGGTCAGTGCCGTGATTTCCCGCTGAAAGACCCGCTGAAAGACGAGACGGACTGATGAAAGGAGGAGACAATGGGTTGGGAGGGAAGATAATGTAATAGTGGGGGAGTGGGGAGGAGGTGGGGAAAGATGTTCCCTCTGTGATGGTTTGTCAGCAAAGGGAAGGGTGCAGTTCGTGGGGCGCCGCCGCCTGTAGTCACTTCCACGTCAGTGCAATGTCTGGCCGACCGCTAGGTGTCACTGGGTGTTTCATATGAGTCATGGGTTTACACGATGCCGCCGCCGAGTACGTACGGGCGTTTGCGGCGCCGATGTGTGTATGGCTGTGGGCCTCGCCGTTCTAATGAATCTTACAGTCTCATCCGATCCAGTAAGGTGCCATTAGCACGTGCTCGGCGATCGGTGATACGAGTAACCTTAATATACCAATTTTCTTTTGGCGCGACTCGGTCTCGACTCCTTTCACGCCCTCTGTCGATCAGCGTCCTGCATAGGGTCAGTGCCGTGATTTCCCGCTGAAAGACGCCAAAGAAATTGCCAAATGTATGGGAAAATTAGGCCGTAGAGGTCGCGATCGCCGGGACACCACGCAGGTAACCGGCCGGGGTGAACGGCGGGTACCTCGGCTGACCGCGGAGGCTGGCGGAGGGAGGTAGGCGGGGAAAGACTACCTCGGCCACCGACACTACCGAGGTGCGCGCGGCGAGCGCGCGAAATGCGGTGGCACTGACGGTGGGCAGTTTCAGGCCACGGGGAGGAGGGGGCTGGCAGGAGGTGGAGGGGACGGTGCCGAAAGTAAGGAAACCGACCGTTCCGGTGGGGAGGCAGCGACGTCGAGGGGTGAGGGATAATGACGTCCGAGACCGCCTGTGGCCGCGCGGTGATGCGACGGCGGAGCTAGAGGAGCACTCGGAGCTGCCGGCGGTGTCTTGGCTTGCCCAGTCGGTGGTGTCCGGGCTGCTGCTGCAGCTTTGAGCGCGGCGCCTGCGAGACGGCTGTCGGGAACGCTGTGACGAGCCGAGTAGACCCAGCTCGGGGAGCGGTATCGCGCATGGTGCAGATGGGACAGGCACGGGCGAGGCAGACTGTTGACACGCCACACGGCGGCGGCCGGTCGGTGCATCATCGTTCATTCTGCGCGGGCCGGTGCGGGCGCCGCGGCGGCTCTGAAGGTTAGTCGGTAATCCTGTTTCGGCGTTGAGAGAAGGAATGGCGGCTGATTTCACCGCCGCTGCCGCAGCGGCACGGGGACCTGTAAGTCGCCCCTGACGTTAGTCGAATGAATAGGTGACTCATCGGTAGTTGGTGCTGGGGGGAGGCTGGCCCAGTTCTGCGGTCTACTTAGTCCAGCAGAGCCCCCGGCGGCAACCGGCTGGTGGGCTCGAGAAAGTGGACCGTTTGACGACCCGGTGAGTATGGGTTCCAGCAGGTTAGTAAGGGAGACGTGACAGACAGCAGACAGGTATGGTATGGTCAGCGGACCGGTGACAGTGGGCGCTGCTCCATATCCAGCCAGCGTGCCGCGGAATGGGTACGGTCAGCGGACCAGTGAGTGTCAGACCCAGCGGGCAGAGGAGGGCGCTTCCAGTCAGCGGGCCGTAGAAGTGGGACGGTCAGTGGACCGGTGAGTGTCACTGCCAGCGGACAAAGGAGGGCACTTCCAGCCAGCATGCCGTGGAAGTGGGACGGTCAGCGGACCGTTGAGTGTCACTGCCAGCGGGCAGAGGAGGGCGCTTCCAGCCAGTGGGCCGGGGAAGTGGGACGGTCAGCGGACCGGTGTGTGTCACCGCCAGCGGGCAGAGGAGGGCGCTTCCAGCCAGCGGGCCGTGGAAGTGGGACGGTCAGCGGACCGTTGAGTGTCACTGCCAGCGGGCAGAGGAGGGCGCATCCAGTCAGCGGGCCGTGGAAGTGGGACGGTCAGCGGACCGTTGTGTGTCACTGCCAGCGGGCAGAGGAGGGCACTTCCAGCCAGCGGGCCGTGGAAGTGGGACGGTCAGCGGACCGTTGAGTGTCACTGCCAGCGGGCAGAGGAGGGGGCTTCCAGCCAGCGGGCCGTGGAAGTGGGACGGTCAGCGGACCGTTGAGTGTCACTGCCAGCGGGCAGAGGAGGGCGCTTCCAGCCAGCGGGCCGTGGAAGTGGGACGGTCAGCGGACCGTTGAGTGTCACTGCCAGCGGGCAGAGGAGGGCGCTTCCAGCCAGCGGGCCGTGGAAGTGGGACGGTCAGCGGACCGTTGAGTGTCACTGCCGGCGGGCAGAGGAGGGCACTTCCAGCCAGCGGGCCGTGGAAGTGGGACGGTCAGCGGACCGTTGCGTGTCACTGCCAGCGGGCAGAGGAGGGGGCTTCCAGCCAGCGGGCCGTGGAAGTGGGACGGTCAGCGGACTGTTGAGTGTCACTGCCAGCGGGCAGAGGAGGCCACTTCCAGCCAGCGGGCCGCGGAAGTGGGACGGTCAGCGGACCGGTGAGTGTCACTGTCAGCGGGCAAAGGAGAGTGCTTCCAGCCAGCGGGCCGTGGAAGTAGGACGGTCAGCAGACCGTTGAGTGTCACCGCCAGCGGGCAGAGGTCGCATCCAGCCAGCGGGCCGGGGAAGTGGGACGGTCAGCGTACCGTTGAGTGTTACCGCCAGCGGGCAGAGGAGGGCGCTTCCAGCCAGGGGCCCGAGGAAGTGGACGGTCAGCGGACCGTTGAGTGTCACTGCCAGCGGGCAGAGGAGGGCGCTTCCAGCCAGCGGGCCGGGGAAGTGCGACGGTCAGCGGACCTGTGAGTGTCACTGTGTATGGACTTGGTGCCGGCTGGCGGCCTACTGTGTGCACTGACATCTGTGCACACCCCTGCCGCGGCCCT